CGGTTATACATACAACCGCAAACAGCACATGTTGTCCCTGAGCTCCGTAACGACATCTCTCACAAAGATTTGCGTCTTTAAATAGTAAAATAATTCTCCGAAAAACAGCTAGCTCTTCGCTAACTAACACACAAAATACCATTGGAATGCTACTTCCGCCGCCTCACCGGAAGTTTCACCCACTTTATTTTTTACATGAGCGCCCCTCGGAAACTTGTGGATAATTTTTAAAGCTGCAGTCTGTAGTTTTTCCTCTGTCGCCATCTCTGTTCGAAATCTGCAATTGCTGTCATTTACGGAATTATCAACTTTACGTGGGTCGTGCCTCGGCACAGCATAGCGCGGATGAGTCCAATGTTTTGAGGAGAATGTTCGGCTGTCAGTCACCGCGCCGGTGTGGATACTGTCATTCAGAATCACAGATTATTCTTTCGGATGTGACCAACATAAGAAAATATCATCTGAACAAGTAACATCCACTTTTGTTCTGACCAACTACAAAGGAAAAAAAAGATTGCAGTAAATCGCACTGATTAAATCTAACGATCGCTTATAATACCACGTCAAACCCTGCCAATTATACTTTGTCCTAAAGTTAATGAAAACAACATCAGCATTGGGTGACTACATTTAAAGCCCTTCAGATATGCATCCTTGTTTTCGCCTTGGGGCTGGTTGCAGTCTCTTTGTTTTTTGTAGCCACTCCGAAGTCCAAAGTCTTTTTACATTTTACAGCGGGTCATTTTACATTTTACCTTCGGATCTTTAATTATCTTTAATCTTTATGGAAGTTTAATTATATGTGAGAAAAGGCTATAAATCTCTACCTCCAACATCCTCACACGCGATATATCCTACTAGCCGAGCCTCCTTCTTTATGTACTGTTTATGTGTTTCCCAACCCTGTTCCTGGCGGCACACCAATACTGCGCGTATTCTTTGTCTCCCTAATCAAACACACCTGATTTTCACCTGACAACTCATCAGCTCATTAACCCATCTGATAATGAACTGGTGAGTTCAGGTGAATCAGATCTGTTTGATAAGGGAGACAAAGAATACGCGCAGTGTTGGTGTGCCGCCAGGAACAGGGTTGGGAAACACTGACGCAAAGAAACAAAGCAATGCTCGCGGAAATCCACCGTTACCACTGAAATTAAAAACAGTATTACAAGCTACCGATTTGAATTGAGCTAAGGCAAGCAGATAGTTTGAACACTGGCTGGTTATGTACTTGCTCATTTTTTTTAGATCATTTTTAACCCCAAAAAGTTATGAACAAAAAAAAAATATTAGTTAACAGTAACACTATTTAATATCACATTTAGCAGTGTTCATTGACACTACATGGCTACTCTTTATGACACAGGTCTGGTCACACGGACAAGTTTTACTTCTGGTCTGCTGAATCATACATAAAAGAGCGTCCGTGTTTTGAAAACTCACAGATAGATGCAATCATCATTACACTGGAAGCGGAAGCTGTTAAATTACCACACGATGCCAACATGGGGATAGATCTCAAAATGATTTGAGGCCATTTGTTGGTGAACAATGTCATATAAGTTTCAGACTCTCTGAAAGTGACATGTCATCAAGGAGCTCACTGAGAAAAAGACTTTAGATTCTAAATGATAATGTGAGACCAAAATGCAACAACTATGGTTAACGTTTTTAAGGAAGTCCCTTATGCTCACCAGAGCTGCATTTACATGATCTTTTAGAAATCATTCTAATGTGATGATTTGTTCTCAAGAAATATTTTCAATGTTGAAAACAGTTTGAGGAAAACTGATAGATTTCTGCATGCAGGATTTCATGGAAATAGAAATCTTTTGTAACATTTAATCTTTTGATAAAATTCAGATTTCATGGAAGAGACCGCTTCTTCACATTTTGCCAGGTTAGGACATGACTAAATTTCATTAATTCATTTCATGTTTAGATGGTCTATCTATACTACAAAGACAATGAACAGATAAATAAATGCACTGACAGTTTAGTGACACAAGTCATAAATCAAGGCACACATGGGAAAAATCTGGAACCCAATACTGGCTTTCAGCTTCCATTTGTGTCGTCGTTTACGGCTGTTTTCTGAGCCAACAGATGGGCTGACAACTAAATAATGGCTGCAAGAACGGCTTGTCAATATCATTCAAAATGCCAACGATCACTCAGTCACATGAAAAGAGACGAAACGGCGTACAAAACGACATTTGATGAGCATTTTGCATTGTTCTTGCATGAGGCTTTTCTCCATTTTCAATGGAACAAACTACCACTTTACAACGCTTCTAATTGGCACATTGTTGGACTAACTATTTAGACAGCTCTTCTTTCAGTTGTAATTTGGGAGCAGAAGTCTCACACGTCATTCAGAGAGAACATATGTGACAATATAATTCCTGTAAAGATTAGCCAAACTGCACTGATGAATAAAGCACAGCCCTTCACTACCTATTTGTAGCAGAACTTCTACATTCAACTTTCAATAAAAGGCTCAACGAGTTTAAGGACTTTCCCCAAGAGTATGTTACACTACAACTCTCTCTGTTTTACTAAAAAGCACAACAAAACAATGCAAACTTCAATATTCATCATGAAAGCATAAGCTAAGTTTGGAATTCAGAAAACTATCATTTTATTATACGCACTTGGTGAGTGTAATACATATTTGTTCAAAAACATTACAAATCTTACTGATCCCAACCTTTTGAAAGGTAGTATATCACCACATAATTTTACATATCTGTCACTTCCAGCTGAAACATTTCTTCAGCCGGAACCATTGACACGTAAGTTAACTGGCAGACACATAACGGTTATGTTTAGACACTAATATGCGGAAGGCAGCAACCAGGACAGGACAAGGTCAGCAAGCGAGAGATACGAGAGCAGCTGCGAGAAGGTTCCCGGATCGACACGTTTAATATAACACAGGTGACAAGATTCTGGTTGAGCACTGCTGAGGTTTGATATCACTAGGTGTAAAAAAAATAAATAAAAAATAGATAAAACAGTGTCTCTGTCCATGCAAAATTCGCCCCCACATGGTGGGTGGTTGCTTTGTCCTGACCAAGTCAGAAAAGTCCACCCACATGTCTCTATGACCCTGTTTACATCTGGTATTATGATGCATTTAGTCTATTTAGTAAGTGGACAACACAACGGGGTCTAAGTTGTCAACAGTCCACCACAACGTAGTCGAAAACACATTTTACCAGACTGCCCGTCTCTGAGTGCTTTCATATGTAAATTGTTCAAACTTAATGTGCCGTTATATCAAAAGATCTAAAAAAAAAAAAAAACACACCCATAGACCCTCCCATTGAAGAAATCACGACAGAAGTGTAATCCCTGGTCTACTTGTGATCCGATCGACCAAACCACATCTTAATACCAAATTATATATCTGACCTCTAGATACGGCTGGCATCCCTCATTCAATCGAGAAATCATTTTAAGGCCTATTCACACCAAGAGAACGTTAACTTATAGCGATAAAAACTATATTAGATTCTACAGCAGTGCTCGATAACGCTGTTTGTCACTGAAAGCTCTTTAAACCAGAATGGATTCTGATTGGCTGTAAATGCTCATTTAGTTAATTAGCTAGAAAAATTATAGTTATTGGAGTGTTCAATATGCAAACAAATTGGTTGCTAAATCGGCAATTGAGAGAGAAAAAAAATTACATTTTGTTATACCCGCTTAAATTGAGCACAGGAATCATCTCAAGTACCCGCGAGCCCAAAGCGGAGGTCAGACAAGACTGTTTGCGCTCTGGCCATAAACAAACAGAAGTTGAGCGGCAGCACAGACAGATACACATCTGAAGAGCTCCGAACAGACAAAGACGCTAATATCAGTATTTAAGGGAGTAACAGGCTGCCGTTTTGAGCCGAGAGGTCTTTGAGGTCACTTTACGAGGCTGACGCTCTCGCAGGGCCCGTCGAGACTTGCAGCGCAGTAGGTCTCGGCCGTTTCCATAAAGAACCAAAGGCAGAATGCTCCGACATTAATAGCAGGTTGCCCAGCTGTGCCGTCTCTAACTAATCCAGCAAGGCTGTAATTAAAGCACACATCAAATGCGCATTAAAGTCCCAGCGGCCCCAGTCACTGGGGGGACTCGTTAAGACTCAGAGGTTCCAATTCCGCCCCATTCCACAAGCCGAAAAAGATTCATGGAGCACCTCTGATAACTTTCCAACCCTTTAATTTTTCCATTTTGCAAATTTGTGAAAAGCGATGTCACATTTACAGTGACGAATTGCGCATGTGGCTCCTTCATCTGGAGTAGATGGAAAAAAGGGTAATCTTGCCTTGACGGATGGTTTTGGTAGACTAAACGATACGCTAAGACTCATTTGAGACATTGGAGAAAAATGTTAAGTGCTTACTACAAACTAGCATAAAAAGGGAAAGTGCCGCCACATCTATAAAAAAGAAAGAAAGAAAAAGACAAAAAAAAAGAAGGAAATCCAGATTAACAGCACAGAAAGATCCACACAAAATATCAATCCTCTTCTATAGTTTCCTTTCCATTGCAAACACCTGAAATTGTAGATGGAGGAACATGCCTAGGTCACATTTCACCCCAAAATCAAATAATATTTTTTTGCCTGATAAAGACTATTTTAGGACCATAATGTTTTGCATTGAAAATGAAGCACATGTTCCTCCTCAAATGAGTTACCTCATTACTGTAACACATCTGGATCTTTCCCTTTCTTATTTGCAATAGTCATTTTGAATACATTTTCAATACTGCATTACAGTATTTTTACATTAGGATGAATATAATTTTGGGAGTGGAAAAGGTTCTTAATTTGAATGTAAATAATTTTATAATGTATTCTGTCAATTTAAGAAAATAAATATACATTTATTTTATAACAATGGGTAACACTTTACAATAAGAATTCATTTGTTAACTACATTAGTTAAAATAAACTAACAATAAAATATACTTCTAAACAAAAAAGCTAATGAGCTAATGATGAACAGCTTAATTTTTAATAACTAATGTTAAAGATCAATAAATACTGTAACACATGTATTGCTCATTGATAGTAAATGCAATAACTCATTTAATTTAATTAACTTATATGATCTTATTGTATTAGTGTTACCCTGTAATGGCATGTAATAAAAAAACTAGAAAGTAATAATCATTAAGAATTATTGCAATTACAAAAGAAATTCAAAAAGGAAAGCATCCATAAAATTGACAGTAATGTAAATACAGTAATCAATCAAAACGATGCAAAAAAATGTAATGGTCCTAAAAAAGGATTCATTTTCTTTATGCAATTAAAGAAAATGTATAGTTTTTTGTGAAATATGACAGACATGTTCTCTTGACAGATTGCATTAGATTCACCTTAATGCAAATGGCCCGTGTTTTTATAAAATAGTTACTCAGCTACTCAGTCTGTTCAAAAGAAGAAAAGCAGTGGCCATAACAGCATGATGATGAACTTCATCCATTGGAGGGACGATGACTCACCTCTCCAATGTTAGAGGTCACCCTTTCAAAAAGGCATGCAGTGTCCAAACTCCAAAGCTCCATTTCCTCAGAGTGACCCCATAACGGCTTTGATAAAACAGCTGATCTAGAACAATGATAAGAGACGGGCTATGTTCCTGTTTGAACACATTCCACTATTGTCCAGCTCTCTCTGTAATACCTGGCCAGGTATCACCAATATCCTTTGAAGGATCAAAGCCTGCCTGGGAGTTTTGATGGTGAAAAGAAGAACACAGACCTTTTCTGCTTCGCTCCAACCTATAATTTTTTCAGTACCTGAAAATTGCAGCTCTGAAAGTTCAATGAAGAGTCTAATTTTCAAACAATATGCATTATAAACCTTGAGCCTGAGCTGCAGGATATCTAGGACACTAATAATTATGCAAAGGGTGCCCTGCTCTATCTTGGTCATGTGATCACAATGGTTTGGCCCTGTAATCATACACACACACGCACAAAAAAACAAAACAAACAAAAAAAAACATATCCAGGTGTATGGTACGTTATGCCCCACAAACTTCATCTCATCTTACCTCATAGGACCAGACGCACTGCACCCCGGCGAAGCGGCGCACGCAGCGGCCCACCTCCACGTCCTCATGGGTGGTGTACATCTCCTGCAGGCACTGGCGGATGTGGGGCACCATCCTGCGCAGCACCTCACGGCTCATGATGACACCAGGGCCGCCCATGCAGAAGTTCTCCCCCGGTTCCAAGGCCAGCTTGCCCAGTTCGTCGCGGGCGCCCATGCCCGTCTGGCCGAGAAAGATGGCCTCGCTGCTGTTCAGACTCCTCAGAAAGCTCTCCAGCTTCTCGCTTTTGATGTAGACGTCGTCGTCGGCTCGCATGAACCACTCGAACTGGTCCAGGTAGTGGTCATGCATGTACTTGAGCATCATGAAGGACTTTTTCTGAGGAGGGTACGAGTCGTCCACGTTCTGCAGAGCCACAATGGGGATTGGGATCGTCGTGTCAGAACCCTCGCTGGAGAAAAACTCCACTTTGCCTGGAACAGACTTGGCCCAGGTTCTACATAACACACAAAAAGGAGAAATACGTTCAAAATTAGTGATTGATCGATCGTTATTTTAACGGTATATCACAATATAATAGTTATTTGTGCTGCAAATAGTCACAAAAATATTTTACATACTGTTTTGTACGGTCTACTTTTCTATATCAAACAGAAAGGCGCTTCACTATTATTACTCAAAAAAAAAAAAAGTAAATAAAAAGCTATTCCTCCTATCAAAACCAAAATCTTGGTTTTATATTTAATTGAATTTTGAGGAAATATTGTTTATTTCAGCCATTTTGTTAACAAAATCTCACATCAACAAAATAAATTATTTTAAAAAATGTATTATTTCAAATAATAAAAATAAAACAAATCAATAACATAATAACAAAAAATGTTATGTACCGTAAAATCAAACAAGTGTTTAGTAGTATTATTGATCATAATAATGTTAAATTACAATAGCAATATTTTATGCCCGTCTTCATTTCTTTGCTGTTAAACGTGTTAAGCTTTTATTTTTGGGAGAAAACCATAAGGAAATCTCAAAGCTTTGTTGACAAGATTTATAAACAAATCTAATTGTAATTTTGTTACACTGTTTGATGCATGTTGCAACTCAGCTCTTAGGTAGAAAAGTACAAAGTAATGGGGGGCTTGGTTTAGCAACACTATTCAGAATATATTGACATGAACATCTTAAGACTTGACTTAAAAATGCCTCGAGTTATTATCAGAATGACGAAAAGATTGAGCAAGGAACAGCATTAGGATGATTCATATGGTTTTAAAACAAAAATTCCCAAGCTGATTAACTATAAACATGTAAAAACGAAAACAGATAAACAAAATACAGCACTCAACAAGCATACAAGTCCAAAAGCTTCATTCTGCCACGACCCTAAAGTGTAGGCGGACGCTTGCAGCAACTAAATCAGTTCAGCAGAGATTCAGAGATGCACTTAATTTAATATTGCAACATTCCTGTCCAGACACTCAAGCACGAGTCTCTAAAATACACTTTTGTCCCGCATGTCAGCAAGTGGAAAGGCTGCACTGTTTTTGTTCAGATAATATCCCCTCTTCTTGCCAACATCTAATTTTACCAAAACCCTGCTTCCTGTTCTCTGCAACTAAAGAAGGGGAATCCAAAGATACTTGTGTTAACCTTCTGCACACTTCTGCAGTGAAGAAGACATGGGCTGCATCCGAAATCGCAGAATTCCTTACTAGGCCTATATAGTATGCGAAAAACAGCATGTGACAAAAGTAGTATGTCCGAATTCATAAAAAAGTAGGCAGGTGATAATGACAACATGCCAAATGCAGTGTGTCCAGATTACATTCATACTATAAAGAACATACTTTTTTAGAGATTGCGAAGAAACATTCCTTTTTCTAAATAGCAGCCACTCAAGAGTGATTTGCGATGTGATTTCAGTCATTCAGATAGATGTCAGTCTGACATTCACCACTGAAACCAGGAGAAGGAGCCAGCCAGGCTCTGCCTTGATAGACAACCATTTTCATTTTCTTGCACGAAATGAGCATTCAGCAGTCTTGCTTGGATATGCAAATCAAATAATGCAATTAAATAATTGAGATGGAAAATAATAGTTTAGCAATCCTTTGAGAACACATTCTCTAGATTCTAGATCTTCAAATTGCTCCTGTGCAGAACTATAAGGAATTCATTGTGGGAAATACAGCAACAATGGAAGAGAATCCGCCATTGTATACATCAGTGATGCACTGGCTTTTCCTCCAAGGCAATCGCCCCAAAAAACCTGGCAAGGAAATACTGCTGATTAAACGTATGACATAAATGCTTGCTTCAGCACAAATCTGTCCTCTCCATCCTTACACAAAGTACCATGGTAACCACCATAGTCTCCGTCAAAGTACCATACATATACTATTCCTAAAGTAATAATGTGGTATTAGCCAAAAGTGCCATTTAAAAATGAGAGGAAGATACGGACCATGGTGATTCTTCATATGCGTTTAATAACCTATAAAACCCCACAAGCAGAACTAATAAAACATGAAATAAAATGATTCAGCATAACCCTGCTTTCTCTCTCCTCATCCTTACTATGATTTACCATGGTAATCGCAGTCTCCACCAAAATACCATAGACTTTTAATAATTTTCTTGATGCAGTAAAATTGTGGTAAAATGGTATTTGGCAGAAGTGTCATCAAAAATAAGAGAAAGAGTCCTCTGAAGGGCTTTTACATTGTTTGAAGAAGATCCCAGACAACTGAAATAAAGCATAACTCTGGCCTCTCTCCATCCACACTCTCCATCCAACTGTTATCTCGACCAAAATAGCAGATAGGCCTAATTATTGGGTTACAATTTACTGTAATGTGTCCCTGTTACAGTGTATACTTTTAAGTACTGAGTAATTTATTAACTACATGTACCTACAATGGAGTTATTATTTGGTTTAGGGTTAGTTAGTTACATGTAATTGTGCATAACTTAAAGTTAATACAAAAACTAAAAAGGACACCGTAAAATAAAGTGTTATCAATTATTGTTACTATCTAACTTAACGTTACACTTCCACTTTAACTACGGTTATCATGCAAGTGAATGCATTTCATGCAACTCCCATCCTCCCCAAATATTATTTCCCAGATATGACATAAAATATGATAATAAATAAATATAAATAAACAATATGATATAAATGAAGAGTTCAGATGCAAAAGCCTCTAAATGCCATTTGAAATTTTCTTCTAAAATAACCATTTTTATCAAGCTTGTATGTTTAAGTTTAGTAATTTGACTTAAATGACAATTAATAGGTAATCTTCATTGCCATTTAAGTGAAATTACTGAACTTAAATATGCAAGCTTGATAAAAATTATCATTTTAGAAGAAAATTTCAAATGGCACTTAGAGGCTTTTGCATCTGAACTCTTCAAATATTGTTGAAGATCCCCTTTTATTACGGTTATCGTGGTGATTGATCATACGTGTCGACCCCTCAAAACCAATGACTACGTTATAGCTGAAATAAAATAGCTCCAGCATAACCCTGAACTCTCTATATATTTACCATAACTTACTCTGTAACCAGTCAAAAAATACCATAACATTATGACTGCTACTAATTCTAGAATAAAGGGCAATAAAATATAACAAACACGGTTTTTTCTGCACTGTCGTAACTGTTTTTGGGCGGGAACAACAGTTACCATGGTGATTCTTCGTAAGTGGACGCGATGAATTAACGTACCTATAAGCTGCCACGGCACGGTTGTTCAGGTACTTCTGCGCGGTCATGACGCCCACGAACAGGAAACTGTTGGACTGGGGCACCGCGGGCTTCTCCGTGTTGGGCATCAGCACCCCTCCATACTCCTTCTTCATCATCATCATCATCCCTCCTCCACCTCCGCAGCCGCCCGTGCCACCGCTCGCCCGCCGCTTGTGACCCGCTTTCTTGAGCTCAGTGGCCCGGGGCAGGATGAGCCTGGACGCCAGTGTGAACCCAACTACCAGACCCAGCAACACACTGAACCACGATCTGCGACTTCTGCCTGCCATTTCAGCTTTTACTCAAACCTCCGGATCAGTAAGGGCTTTTATTTCTTAATGCCTTCGTTTTATTTTAAACACCAGCCGCTGCTGCAGTCCCGTCCAAAACACTGCGTTTGGGTCCGAGCATGATCGCCGCTGATCACCGTTCACTGCCGATGTGTACGTTGCAGCGCTCCAGTCCGCATATATCACCAGCCACTGCCATCTAATCGCCAGCTATTCGCTCCATGCGAGCCATGATCAGATTCGTGAAGATATTTCCGTTGTTTCGAGCTTGAATCGTTGATAAGTCAGAGGAAATGAATGGTCTGATGTCTAAAGTGCGGCTGCATCCTCGTTTTCGCGACTATCTCGCCATTGTGAGTAAGCGCGAGTGCTTGAAACGCGGCGAGGCGTCTTAATGGTTAAGGGTTTTTGACACGCTGGAGGCGCCGTAGCTCGTTCCTGATTGGCTGAAGACAGTTATCTGATGACGTTTCGTGCATGGGAAAAGCGTTACATCCTTTTCTCGTGAATTGTTCTTTTGAGAGATTCACCATTAAACTGTGTTTATTGTAATGGAGACAAACGTTTTACCATTTTTTTTATTGATAAATCGTTCATTTTGTACCGACATATGTTTTTATTAAATGTCAATTTTCTAACCAGAAGCCAGTTTTCGCTGTTTTCCTTGTAGAATTATAGAAGTACTTTAAAATAGATTTAAGTCAGAATAACAAAATTAATAAAGAATTATACATAAAAAACTGGATGAAAAAAAGCTATTGTATCATTCCTGTAATTATTGAGTCTTAAGTGCAAGCTCCTGCTTCAATTTTATGTATATTTCACTTAGCCTACAAAATAAATAATATGACAAATTTATTATTAATAATGACAAATCTAGCATTCACTTCGTGATGAATTTGTGACGCTTAATATAATGTTTCACACCATGATACTGTTTGGTTATTTACTTTAGCAATAAGTTTAAAACCGTTTTGTCAAGTTTATTATATATTTTTAATTCAATGTGTTAGTTATCTATTTTTATATTTCTTATTTGGCAAATAGTCAAATTTCATATTATGATTTCCTGTAATATAGGCTTAATTCTCTAATTTTTTTTTTAATATATATATATATATATATATATATATATATATATATATATATAAAAGATTCATTCCTTCCATAACTGACACGTGCTAATCTCGCCACCTAGTGGACAAAGTGTGACCTCGCGGGATTACAATTTGCGATTCTGCCGTCTCATTTCTTTTCTGCTACGTATTTTCCTGTCTCAACTAGGCTATTTCTTATCTCAACATCATAACTAACTGGACATACGAAGTGAATTTGAATAATCTCACCACGATAAGTGTTGTTTTTCTGCCAGGTCCCTATTTTCGAACTAATATCTAATACTCTAATCACAATGTTTAACACACAGAAAAAAATATTTTCTCTTTAGTGTTTGACTTTCCTGTGTCCTGAAAATAACTTTTCCAACCCGTTAAAAAGTGTAAAATGTTTGAAAATACTTTGATGGCCCTGAAACAGGATAAAACATGGCATTTGTTGTCCTGGTAAATAAGACATAGACAAACGTTAAGTATGCATTTTAATTCTGAAAAGCTCACAATGACTGACACGTCATTCCTAAACAAATGCTTCAAAAACACCAAAGACCCCACACTACGAAGGCTACTATTTAACATCACAAACAAATGCATTGATGGATCTGTCATAAAACGGCAATTCCTAATTTTATAACAGAATACAATCACTTCAAATGATATAAATGTAGCACTTTGCATTTGTATTTACTCTCTCTAGGTGTTCATTAGCACAGCCTTTATAAGTGCAAAAGCTAAAAACAGGAACACGTTTCATTACTGAAAATCATCAGCCTGCCCCAGGAGTATTAATACCTTTGATGAGGAGGCGTCATTAGAAGCTGTCAGTCAGACAAATAGGCAATAGTTTCTTTATCATAATGTGCAATTAAAGAAAAAATATGTGTTAAAATATGTTTATGCTTTGACAAGTAAAACATCTAAAATCTGTCTTTTTCGACTCACCCTGATGTCATTCTGACTGCACATGCTGTTATTGTGAAACAAAACAAAAAAAGACAATCATCATGCCGATTTCAATTTAACCAGTGCACTAGATTCAAAATCATCTGTGTTCATAAGATAGAACTGATTGATTTAAAAAAAAAAAAATAACAGCATACAGAATAAGAACGACATGAGGGTGAGAACAAAAGTTAGACAATTTAACCTGTCACCAGAAAAAAGTGTTTATGAAGATCCTTAATAACCATCTTTGCTATTGTCCTATGATGAGTGCTGACAGCCTTATTCAGTTAATATTTATGTGTTCCTATGGGGGATTGTCAAAGGGTCAGAGGTTACTCTGACGACCTTTAACCTCATCCACCAGCAGACGGTCCTCTCCTGCCGGGTCTCCAGCCGCACGTTCCTCCTCCTCCATCTCCAGACAAAGGACTGTACCCTATCAAACAAACAGACAGCATATCATATAAACAACAACATGAAGAACAAGACACTGACAGTTCTTGAGTCTCAACCAGGATAATGGGCTTAATGATGAACGTTGAATGAACAAACGGAAAAACAGGTTGCATCGCATCCGCTTGTGAGAGAAAGTGTTAACAACAGTATGAACTGTTGTTTCAGACACCACTGCAAATGGCTGTCCCCTCAAATAATGCCCTATCTAAGAGTATGGGAGCGATTTCGTACACAGCCTAAGAGTATTGATCTTTCTTCTTCTTCATCCTATTGTTCTCCAATCTTGAATGTCAGCACAGCTGAAATGTTTGTTTGAGCTGTGCCCTCTACTGTATGAATTTGCATTTCTTTCAGCCTGAGGCTTATTCATTTCACTTCTGTGTAAGGGCCTTTACATTTGCCAAAAATAGAACTTTCGGGTTTTGTACTTTTGTTGTCGTTGCTGTTAAACAAAACAAGAAAGTCCAGCCCAGATGGAAAAAAGTAATGTAACATTACTTTTCAAAAAAGTACTTTTTTATGGAGTAACACAATATGGCAATGAATTATTTTTAAAAACAAATTTCCCCAACACTGATGACAGCGATATTTATGGACTTTGTTAGAGGGGTGATGAACTGAGAAATCAAATTTTCCTCAAGCTTTTGACATCTAAGAGGTCATCATATTATAAGAATATCCTGTAAGTTTCAGAACTGAAAACGTCCTTGTTAGTCCAATAAAAGCTTTTATTAACACCAGCCTCAGCAAACGACTCGTTTTTCAAAGTGGGGAACTATGACGTCAAAACTAGGGTAGAAATAGCCTATTACTTATTCATTTTGATGTTTTTGAATGCAAAAATCAAGCGAACATCATAAGTTGACGTCAGACAACAATATGATTAATTTAAAAGCCAATTCATGACCCCTTTAAGTTAATGCTCCTTAGAAGGCATAATGAGTAAAACAGCTATATATTTAGCGAAGCACATAGAAAAAATATATTTATTTATTTATTTTTCATAATTTGACTTTGTATAACAATGCAAAATAACGAAATATACAGTAAAAATAAAGTCCCAAAATACTTTTGAACAACAATATAATAAATGTCTGATGTCACCAGGGTGAGTAAATTATGACTTCATTTTCATTTTAGGGTAATAGTAACTATCCCCTTAATGTCTAAATATAATTGCAATATTGATTACCTGGATAATTCCCCTGTGAAATCTTGGTCTATTCTGAAAATGGGTCATTTTTTAGGTTAGTGCACTCAAAAAAAGGAAGAAATTCTGTATGCACTTTCTGAAAGTATGTTAAATAATCTGATTGAACACTGTTAGTAGTAACGGTAACAACTTAACTTAAAACATTATATTACACTATGAAACATTCGGATTGTCATGAACCTTATATACATTTACTTATTTTAAGAAATGTTTAAAACTACAAATGTTTAAAATTAGTTGATTAGTCCCTGTTTAAAGAAATAAACATATAAAACCTATAATAATAATAATTTACAAAGTACATGTAAAAAAAAGTGGAAAATAAATTTAATTTACTTCGAATTTTTTACTGTATTTTATTCCATATAGTATTTTGGACAGTTCTAGAAATAAAGAGCCAAAATATTTAAATAGATTGAAGAATTCTTTGAATCATAAGAGAACATGTAAAATTATGAATATGCTGCATACCACTGTTCCGAAGGGGCTTTTTGTCTGTCCTTGGTCTCAGTGAGCTGGAGGAAGGGGCTTCTTCAGTGTTTAGCTGGAAAGAAGAAATAATATGTAAATGCACCACCTGACACCTGAGGCCTAGAGAGATTCGTCCCAGAAATCTTACCTGTGCAACTTTTGCATTTCCTTTATAACTCTTTCCTTCCTTCATATTGTCCCACATCTCGATTTTCTGTCTTCTCTTTTCCTCCTCAAGCTAAAGAGAACAGAAGAACCAGCATGAATATTCTATGATGATTTTTATATGTACATTTCTGAAATACATAACTTGGACACAGTCACATCTGATAACAGATCACTCTAAATTGCAATGTGGACATGATGACTTTTCGGTAAAGCTGCTTTGAAACAATATGTATTGTGAAAAGCGCTACATACAATAAACGTGAATTGAACACTGCAAACCGAATGTCCGTCCTGCCTGATCACGTCACCACATGAGACTCACCCTCTGCTGCTTCTCTTTGAATTCTGCAGCTCTGGCGTCCTGCTCTTCTTGCATTTTGCGGCGCGCGGCCTCCAGAGCCTCCTGGCGCTGCACCACAGAGCTGGGGTCTGCAAATACCACACACACTCTTAATACCTAAAATATGTTCAAAGCATTTCAGTTCCCACACAGCAGATAGTGTTGGTTCTGACCTTGGTTCACATCTGAGACAGAGGAGCTCTGATTGTCTCTGGGTCTGATCTTGCGGAGATGCTGGATGAGCAGAAAGACTCCCATACACAGGAACACCAGATACCAGCCATATTCAGACAGGATCGAACTAACTGTTGAAAAAAAGATAAAGTTGACAATGACATTCTAGACACTGCAAAGTCTATAAGCACTTTCCAAAAGCATGTTGAATAGTCTGCAATATAATCGATCATTTAATGACTGTTAAAATTTTTAGGAATGGTAAAATTATAAATGTTCAAAACCATTGGTTGACATCTTTTTTTTAAATAAATATAATAAAGGACATATCAAGAATAATAATAATAGCAGTCATCATCAGCAAATTATTTTTAATTTCTGTTAAACATTAAGAAGAATTATAAAACATTCAGACGGTTTCAAAAATCTGTGAAACTTTAATTATTATTCATGGACTTCTCTCCAAGTACTAAAAAATATATAATGTATACGTTTAAACAAACATTTATTTATACTTTAAGAATTCAAAGTATAAAATGTGCTTTATTTTCACGTCTTTGTTTAAATTTCTATTACATTTGATAATATATCAAACGTCTTAAAGAATTACACCTTTCAACCAAAATATTTTACAAAAAAGGAATTTTATTTTATTTCTCTGTTAAGCATTGTATGTTTGTTAAATTAACGGCTTATTGAAACTCTTATTGAAGCATAACTGATGCATCTTATTGACTTTTGTTTGCTGTAGCCTGTACAAAATGTGACTAATCTTATTGACCTAACGTTATATCGTTCTGTTCTAGTCATTTCCTGATAAGATCCGCCTCACTTCACTCGAAAATGTCAAATCGATGTTTCCACTAAAAGTCCTTTTATAACCCATAATCACAGATTCGATGTCAGGCAAACGGACTGCACTATATTACACTCATGATACATGATAACAGGTCAGTAAACGCCAATGAACCGAAGCTCCGGCTGTTTACATACATTCATGTTTACATACCAGCTGACTGCAGAAAACTCAGATCCTGGTTTGGAGGAACATGTTCATTTTGGACATACGCATCACCATCTGCTTCCATATTACAACGCTTTAAAGATGTTTTATGGTTTTGGTACGAGAATAAATAATAGTTACCACATATTTATTCCGTTCAATCCCACTCAAGCTACCCTGCTACAACACACACCGACTCACTTCCGCTAACAAGACAACCAATCAGCTTTAAGATGACGTGGCCTTTACGGGTGCCCAACTGAGACAAATCAAGGCAAAAAATAATAATGCCTCCTTTTCGATAATAGCATTCCTTTTTTGACTTATCTGAAATCTAAAGATTAAAATATCACCCTTGAAAATTAGAGTTAAATACGTAGTATTTTAACTGCACTATACTAGGATGTAACAAAAACAATCTAACAGAAACTACATTTTCCAAATTATATTTTAGACACTTGGTCTCTAAATTCTAACGTTCTAAATTATATTGATGATCTTTCTCTAAGTGTTTACAAAATGTGTAGCCAATAATTGGGTTAATAATGTGCTGTGCATTTAGAAAAGTTTTCAACACTATGAACAAACTGTAAATAATTATTACAGATTCATATTTAATTTCCAGTCTTTGAGGATGATTCACAAAATATTAGAACAATAAACAAGAAATTCTTGACCACATTCCGATATACATAAAAAAAACCTGACTTTTCATTAAAAAACAAGTTTAATGTAGTTTAATTTATACAAAAAAAATAATAAAAACACTTATCAAAACAAATGCTGTCAAACAGCATCAAAACAAAGCATTAATGATTCTGAACTTAAAAGAACTACGATCCATTAACATCCATTTCTTCCTGCATTTCATCGTCTCCGTTTTCTCCAATGTCCTGCATGTTCTCATGCATGGGGACTGATTCCTGCATCTCTCCCTGGTTCTCCTCCTCTTCCTCTTCCTCCTCTACCATGTTAGATGCTCCTGAAAAGGGGAAAACAGAAGACTGAGAAGCTGGATTTCATTTTTAGTTCTTGAAAGAAGAGCATGTCCTATTGTCTATTTAAATGTTGTTTAACTGTACAGTGCCTAAGTGACCTACATTTTCTACAAAATGGACTACACTCAGGGTTCCCACTCATTCAACAATGACTGAAAGCGTTTTCCCATTCATTTGATATTACTGAATAATGTTTATATATAAATGTGTACAACAAAATAATACCTGATCTCAGCTCTCGTCCTGGGATCTGTCCTGACTGGAGAAGCCCCTTCAACCGTTCAACTTCAGCCAGTGATGTGGCATTAGCAATCGCATTCTACATGCAAACAACATTTACAAAGAGACGCGTTATATCAGGACATCAGCCTATGTGAATAGTACATCATTAATACATAATATGTACACATGTGGGTGTGTTAATCCAGTTCTTCCATACCTTTATGGCTTCAACATCTGCAGCAGACGGTCCCATTTTCTTCTCAGTCTGAAGTCCTGCTCCTGGAGTAAACCTGAGAGCAAGAGTAAATTTGGGTTTCAGACAAAGCGAACATGTTGAAGATTGCCTCTGCAGCCTCTCAACCAGTTCCCACAATCAAGAGTGTAGTATCTTCAGTATCTTATCAATATGAATAAACTGATACAAGACAGAAAAGCCTTGAGCCAGCTCCCCTGAGAAACATTGCTGAAGTTTAACATGGAAATGCATCTTTTAACAGCCAATTCAAGGTCAATATTTATTCTCCGAGATGCCGAGTTCATAACTTCCACAGTCCAGTAATTCGGGAGAGCTGAGCTTTATCAAGGAGTTTCATCTTACGTTTTGGTTCGCTTGGCAATATCCTTTGCAAGCTGAGCACCTCGTTTGCCTTTGAACATTTTTTCAGCCTCCTGACGTTCCTACGGTGATACAGCAGAAAGTTCAAGCAAACATTCACAACGGACCATGACATGGACGACAGCCCCGTTCTTCACACGTGCAATACCGAATTATCACAGATAACTCAAATCGAGCCAATTCAATCTGCAAGTGTGTTTCAAGAAACAAATTAGCCAGAGGGAATTATAAAAATAACGTCGGATGTACTAATCGATGTATGAAGAACAGGGCCCAGGGTGAACTACATTTTGTGTGTGAAATCTTCCTGAAATAATCGGTCCAAAAGGAAGCAGTATGCATTTCATCAATAGGTTCATTTCAAGAAAACAACAAATCAAAATGACAAAGACTGTACAATGTGTGCAAAACAATTATGATAATTTTAGAAAGTAAAACTAAAGGTAGGGCTGGGCGATAAAACGATAACGATAATTATCGCGATATAATTTTCCTCGATAAAACGATATCAAGAGGTCGATAAATGTTCGATAATGTTTATGCGTCAAAAGCGGAACGAAACTCATTTAAACCGCGCGCGCCACACGGAGCATTTATCCGCTCGGGTCAAAGTCCAAATGGCAGTGCATTGAGCGGAGCGCGAGCTCACGGAGACGCGCCTGCGCCTCTGATCGTTTTGCTCACGAGATCCAGTGAGAAGCACTTGAGTTCAGCGAAGAACACAAATGTGAAGTTTAAACCAGTTTAAAGGCAGATGAATCAACGCTGACAAAAAGGAGAAACACTGCAACGTGCAACGATCCAGTCAGAATCTGAATTGATACTGAATCCATTTAGCCTACCATGGATTTACTGTAAGGTTAGCCTGGTAATATTAACTGCACCATGAAATGTGGGATATACATATTGAATTGTATAATATTATTAATGTAGACAATGTATTATGACTAATGGAATATAAGTACAGTATTTAATAATGTATTTAACTGTTAGGCTATTGTTTTTCAAACAAAAAATACAGAAACCATCAAGTTATGCCATGATAGTGAGGAGCTAAGTTATAGGCTATACCTGGTTTTATCTGTGGTTATCATGATCTAAATGCATGATACTGGATGACCAATGGTTAATTTGAATACAACTCAACAGTCAGAATATTACTTTTTACCAAATAAAAATGTGGTTGTTACATAAGAAAAAAAAAACAGATGTTACTGTTTTTGTTAATGAACATAAATATGTTAATGAACATAGAGTAGTTTAAAAACACAATTAACACTCTGGTTTATAGCCTACAACTTTCACTTAGTTGCAAAAATATGCCTTTAAACTTGAAAAAATAAATATTTGACATATATCGTGATAATTATCGATATCGACTGATATCAAAAAAATTATCGTGATAATTTTTTTTGGCCATATCGCCCAGCCCTAACTAAAGGTCTATTTGCATCACAGATATTTAACATTAATCTCTCACTAATAATGATCCTTAATAATTTATTCTAGAAGCACTAGAAACCTGATTAATAATACATTTTAAAAAAAATCAGTAAATGAACATGACATTGACAAAAATGCACTAAACAAACATGAACAAAATTGTCCACGGACACTATTTTTTAAAGCATAATGTACACTACAGTTCAAAAGTTTGAGAGATTTTTTTTAAATGTTTCTGAAATAAATCTTTTCTAGTAACCAAGGCTGCATTTATCCATTAAAAACTGCAATATTCTATATTTTAAAAATGTAATAGCAAAGCTGAATTTTTTGGCATCATTACTCGTTTTCAGTCACATGAATTATTGCTGCTCAACAAATATTTCTTATATATTCTTAGACATTTTTGTGGAATCTGTGCCATTGTTTTTCAGAATTAAGAACACCATTAGTATGAAACAAATCTTTTGTAACTGTAATGTCCTTAGTATCACTTTTGATCAATTTAATGCATCCTTGTTGAATAAAAATTTTCTTATTTTGAACGTTAGTGTAGTTAAAATAAAAGACAAAGCATTATGGATTAATCATACCTTCAGTTTCACTTTCTGGAAGTCTAGCACACGGAGCTGTGGGATTTTATTGATGACATATAACCTGTAATGTTTCTTGTTGGTAACTGGATTCCTGAGGAGACTGCAGAAGAGGAAAACAAAACCAATTCAAACGATGATCTGAAGTTAAAACTTGTCAAAACTCATTGCAGTACACAATATCCAGGGGGTGGATTCAGATCCATATCTGAGGGGTGGAGTTGGGTAGGTTTAGGGATCAGGGGGTGGAGCTGGGTAGGTTTAGGTCAGGGGTGCCCAACCCTGTTCATGCTGATCGACTGTCCTGCACAGTTCATCTCCAACCCTAATCAAACACACCTGCCTTAAATGTTCAAGTGATCCTGAAGACCTTAATTGGTTGCTTGAGGTGTGTTTCATTAGGGTTGGAGATAAACTGTGCAGGACAGTCGATCGGAAGGAGCAGGGTTGGGCACCCCTGGTTTAGGTATATGGAAGGTGGGAGGAGTTGGATCTGGATCCAACTCCTCCCCATGGATTTCATGTTCTGCAGTGAGGACCATCTCAAACTTTTGGGTGTAAAAAAACAAACAAAAAGAAGCTCAGCTGGGACCTGAGCAGGGTCAACGATTTCACCGTTGCAAGAGGATCCAAATCACCCTGTTAAGCACCAGAAACAACCATTAGTACAAAATTTAATGAAACAAAACTTCAAATATGAATGAAAGTGCATAAAGGCACATCTATAGTTGAACTCGCCAGCTCTTGAATGTTGTTGCTTGTGAGAATGAGCTCCTTCAGGTTTGGCAAAGCCTGCTCCAAGTTCTCTCCAATACGGCTGCAATAAGCGAGACAAAAACGTCATTGTAGGGTAACAAACTCAAGTCTTCAGTACTTTGCAAGCACGTGATGCATAGAAATATGACTTTAAAGTAAACTAATGCAAATATTTTCAGAATCAAACTGTCTTGGTGTTTTCCAACCAATATGCATCATTGCTCTGGAGAACCTCCCTCAGAATTGTCAGATAGTATTTTCCTGCATTACATATTTGCATTGTAACAATAACATTAATGAGTATTGCACATAGACAGTGCTGAGCATCATGTAATTTCATTCGTTAGACAGATGAAGATAAACAGTGCATATAGTGTTGTCTCATAATAAATATCCGTCTGATTCTCTCACCAGATCCTGTTGTTGTTCATCAGGAGTGTTTTGAGTCTTTTCAGCAGTGGAAACCCATCCAGTTTTCTGATCTCATTATCGGACAGATCAACGGTATCAAACTGATCGAGTGTAGCACCCAGATTCTCCAGCACAGGGATCTTATAGCCTTAACAAACACATGAGCAGGAGTTAATTTTAAATTAACGCACATACATCGTTAATTCACATGTAAATGATGGACTAAACAGGTTTTAATGAAGGTGCTTCACTTACCGCGCAGGTCGAGCTCTCTGTCCCGCACAGGGTTCGTGTACTGCGCCGCCTGCTCGATTAATTCTGCCGTTAGCTTCACCATGTCCGCCGCTGAGAGAAACAATTAATCTGATCAATAAGAAATGTGTTTGATCAAAAGTTTATTTGATACGTATTACGCTCACACACGCTGCCGCCAAACGGAAGCGTCTGCTTTGTTCTTCTCGAGACGAAATCTGTGTTGGGAAGAAAGCCACAGCGCCACCAGGCGGACTGGAGAACTGATGCGCCACTGCCAACAATGATGATGATGATCATGAAGAGCGTCACATTTGGCGAGAACATGAAATTAATTAATTGCAAAAAGCTCAACAAGGGTGCTCAGAAAAATTTGACATACCACAGCTCCATTATATATAGGAGCTGTGGTATGTCAAATTTTTCTGAGCACCCTTATTGAGCTTTTTGCCCGTTAGATGTGCACACACTGTGTTAAATCTTTGACAGACAAAAATTTAAAAACATAATGCATTGAGCCTGAGGTTATGCATGTTTAGCTTTTTTTTAAAAAAAACACGAATAACTTTAATTGCCCCTTTTCTCTTGTAGCCACACGTAATGAAAGGAGTGTGAAAATAAATTTGACTCACGTTTCTTACATAAAAGTAAGCTTTTTTGGGAAAACCTGGAGGGAACAATATGCTTGAAAAAATGTAGGTTATTTAAATAAAGTGTGCTTTGAATTGAACTATTGGCGTACATAATTTGCTAATAATTTAGGCTACTAGAATACAAAAAAAATTAAAAACAGCAAAGAACATACAGTCTCATTAAGTACAAATAAAAAGGTAGGCTAAATAATGAACTACATTAAATTATTTTATATTGATAATACTTAGTGTTGAATTTAAAAACATTGGATAAATAAGGTGCTGAATCAGTATGCACTATTTAATATTCACTATATGACTGGAGACGTTCAATCTTTTACCAAGTCCTGTAGGCCTATCTTTAAAAAATAAAATAAAAATTCATGAAGGCTTTGAAATATGTCATGAAGACCCAGGAAATGAATTTTTTTTTTTTTTTTTTTGTATATTTTATTACACCACATAATCAGTATAAAACATCTCGTATTTACTTAAATCACAGACAAATTGAATTACAAATCCCTTGGGAAATCGCCTCCATCTAAGGATGATAAAAACTGTTTGTAGCCTATTCTAGCCTGATCATCCAAAGAAAAACCAAACCGATGACTTGGTCTGGTCAAATTCTGTCCCACAAGGCCACAACAACTGGTTTAAGGGAGTGAAACCTCACCTAAAACAGAATTAATTTTCTCATTAGAAGAATTTGCCAAGTCATATCTCCAGTTGGCGTCTCTCACGCAGCTTCGTCTTGTGGGCTGCGATTAGTGACGCTTCCATCCCTCCTCTCGCTTTTGCGTCTTGCGGGGCGAGCAAGCCTTGTGTAGCGTCTTGGTTTGAGGGAGCAGTATTTGCGTCTGGAGGAGGTACTGCTTCCAATGGTATATGTAGCCTACATACTTCTTATGGTTGCCTCCTTTTGTTTTTCCCATCATGGCAACTCTGTTCCTGTCTCACTGCTGTCCAAATGTCTGTAACCGTTTAAAAAATATTTATTATTTGTGAAGTAATGTTCGACTTTTCTTTTTAAGTCAGCTAAATTTTTGTTACAATGTAAAAAATAAAAAACCCTTATGATCACCGTCACACAAATGAACACAAAATCCCTCACGAGGCCACCAGAGCGCAGCACAGTCCCGTCAGTCTAAACCAGTTTCTTTTGTTCCTCACTGAAGCATATTATCGGTCAGGGAGTAAAAGAAAACCACAGATGGTGTAATGAACATTTTAGTTCATTCCTCTGTTGAAACAGTTTCATTTCTAAATCATCTACAGCATCATACTACATCTGATATTCTGCGCAGATGGGGAGGTTCATTTTGTTTTTATAGATGCTCATTATTTTAAGAAAAACACTTTGATAAAGTTAGCTCAGCAGATGTTTTTAATGTGAAAGTCAGTAAATTATCAGATGATCACATATCAGAACAATTGAATCAACAGCTGCTGGACAATGTGACTAATCCTGCAGGGTAAACCATAACTGCGACGTAGGGCAGGCCGTGCTTAAGTTTATTGAACCATTGAACAAAATGAACAACTTTTTCGTGTCATTTGTTTGATACAATCAACTAAATGAACGAATTGACTCGGAAAAAAAGATTTGTTCATTTTGATGAACAAGTTCGAACAGGAGAGTTACGAATGCGCATCACAGAACAGAGCAAAGCGACCATTGAGCTTATAAAACTTAAACTTTATTATTTATTTTTTAAATAAGCGATCGTTTCGCTTGATAAGACCCTTATTCATCGTCTGGAATCGTTTAAAGCCCATTTGAACAGTTTGCAGTTTGCACTGAAACTGTCTTTTGGACCTTGAACCGTTTGGTTCCCATTGAAGTCCATTATATGGAGAAAAATACTAGAATGTTTTCATCAAAAACCTGAAATTTCTTTTCAACTGAAGAAAGAAAGACATGGTCATCTGGGATGACATGGGGGTGAGTAAATTATCAGCAAAAGTTTTTTTTTTTAAAGTGAACTACTCCTTTAACTAATGCAATCCTGTAAAGTGTTACCAAAATTCAATTGAATGCACACATTTCATCTTTAAATTATGCAATAATGTAATGCAATGATGAACAATAATGATCATCATAAAGCAGCATGTAGTTAACTGTGTTTCTGTGCAATGTCATGAAGTCCACTGAAGGAAAGTTAAGATGAGAACCCAAAATGCAGCTTTATTTCCTATACATGATGATCAAAAACAAAGGCATGGCATGACCAAGACACATGGCAAACATGAGGGCTAAAATACACAAGGACTAATGACTAGACAAGGGACACCTCAACCAATGAACCAATGACAACATGACACACCAGACAAGGGAACACATGGCAGGATCATGACTAACAGGGAATCACATGATAAAGACGTGACGTGACGGATGTAACCTCTGTGGGTGAGTCCTGTCATGTTTATTTTTTGTTTATGCCATGGT